GAATGCTTCTATTTGCAAACAATTTGGTTCTCAAAAGCTCTGACAAAAATTTGCTTCCATTCACAAACTTCACATCAGGTGACAAACACAAATGCTGCTGTCTTCCCTTACATTGTAAAACAAATTTAAATTTGTGAATTGAAGTACCACTGAACAATGTAAGTGCTATGTAAATAGTTGTTATATGTGTTATTTATGGGATAATGAGAAGGAAAAAGTCTATCTATGTTCAGGCCAAATGCAGTTTTTTTTCCCAAATATTTTCAGTATATGGTTGATTGAATCCCCAAATGCCAAATCCACAGATAGGGATTCTATATTTTAAAGATTTGCAGGAATATATGCCATGTGCATAAAGTGGTCTGAAGAGAGTAAAAGAAGACAGGACTGGAGACTGTCAGTTGGTTTTTTGAGATGGTGTCTTGCTATGCAGTTCAGGCTGGCCTTGAACTCACTGTTAGGCCAAGTTGGCTTCCAATTCATGGTTATCATCCAGCCTCAGACTCTTGAGTGCTAGGATTCCAGGCATGTGCTAACATACCCAGTTTATTTCATATTACTCTGTGTGTGTGAGTGCACAAGCATGTGTGTTATAGTATAGGTTCATTGATTAATAATGTAATGTCTAAAAATAAAGCATTCATTATTCTCAAATAGTAATTATAGTATAAACGGAGATATTTTCAAATAACATATACATACACACTAAGTAGAAAATATGAACAATAGGGTAGAAATTCAGAAATGACTAATTTGTGAGTTTTATATTATGTGCTAAATACATTTAATTGAACTTTTGCAACCATATGCTAACTACAAAGAAACCTCTCTTCAGGAATTTCTCTTTCTGTTTTTCTGTATTATTTTACGATCACATTGATCCTTTCCTAGCCCTTTCAGATATTTACTCACCTTTTGACTTTTGGTCTAGTCTGAGTCCCTTTTGTCTTAACTGAGCCCCCAGTCCTTTTAGGGTACACTGAAGCTGGTCAGCATGGGAGCAGTGCAGCATTGCTGGCCTGTACACGAGAATCACACACACGTTCTCATCCTGAATTCTGACAGCTCTGGGACTTTGAGCAGTTACATAATCCCTGAGAGTTTCATTTTCTTCCTCTGAGATACTTACAGGGTAGGGGGGTAAGGATTGAGGTCATGGCTGTAAGGTACTATCCTTGGCTACGAAGGCCCAGTGTGTAGGAAGCACCGTGTTTAATTTTATCATTTGGTTCCAGAGCTCCTTTTTTCTCAGATATTGTCGATCCTTGCAGCTTTCTACTTTGTGTTTCTAGAAGAGGAAGGGCTGATATAAGCCAGAAAGGGTCTTCTAGTTCCATTGCCAACAAAAGACAGGTAAATTGGATGGTCCTAGGGCTGTGCTGGAAAGTATATCAAACTGCTTCTTGGGGCTAAATAGCTGTTACTTGAATAAGAGTAACTGATTAAGGGCAAGTGAGAGTCACATTGCCAGTGGAGGGGTAAAGTCAGAGGCCTTGCTGGTTGTATGAGCATTCAGTTAAAGGATGTGAAGGGAAGATGCTTTGAAAAAGCCTTAATACTACAGAGAATAAGAGGAAGTCAGAGTGGCTGTATGGGTGTATTTTCAGTATATGGTTGAATTTGAGCCCAGTTGGATTTGTATTTGAGCCCTGTCTCTTCCATTTACTAGCCCTTTAACCTTGAGCTGGTTAACTGAATCTGTCCAAGGCCTGCTTGCTTAATTTATGAGATGGGGACAAATGTTATCCCCTTCATAGAGTTGTGAAATCATTTAAATACTTGATAAATTTATTAATTCTAAATATCGATATTTAATACCAAGCCAGGGGAAGAAAGAGCAGGGCTTATGCTGAGGCTACTCCTCTATACAACTCACTGATAATATCTACTACTGGTTATCTTTTAATGAGAAAACGTCAATAATGAAATGTATTATTTATAGGTGTTCTTATCCTTCCTGGTATGTCTGCTTGTTGAAAGTAAGAGATGTTTTCCTTTTTCTTTATATTGGGAAACAAAACTTATGAAAAAGCTTTAATGGGTAAGTTGCCATTAGTAACATTTGTGGTTGAGCAATAAAACTGTGACCTAATTTTCTCTATGCATGATTTCCATTGAATTTCACTGCAATTTTTTCAGTTTTTCTGTCTTCTATTTTCTTGTTTGATTTTCTGGTTAATCAGTTATTTCAGCATAATTTACTACTTGTTAAACAAAGAGGATGAATGGTATGCCGCAAATATAAATTGATGCAGCATGAATAGAACTAATTTTGATGAGAAAATAACTGTCTTAGAGGATTGAAATTTGTTCAATTAAGAAGCCTGTGTGAATTTTGTCATGCTTTTCACATGTCATATTTGAACATTAGTGAACTCTGTTAGCTTAGCATTCATGAACTTCTAGTTAAAGTTCATGTTCCAGTACTGTGATACAGCATCAGAGAAGTCTTTTTGTATTCTTCCTATTGTGGTATGTACAGTACCATAATACGTGTTGTACATTCTGTCATTTTGTACTGAAGACAACTGTGTCAATTAACCAATGCTGAGAAACTTGTTTAGTGTAATGAAAATAATAGAGAGAGCTGTAATTTGAAAAATCAGATTTTGACTTCAAAGGTTGTGTTTTTAAAAACTAGGTAGGTTACAACCTGCTTCTCTAACCTGCAATCCAAAGACTGCAAAGCTGACCCTTTGCGAAGTGATTAGGTTTGTTGATTGACTGTTACTATCCTAGTTGGTGTCTTTACTTTACTGCCCAATTTTACCACAGAATCATGGTGTGAAGGCAAGATCTCACTGTGTAGTGTAGGCTGGCCTTAAAGTCTGTAACTCAAGGTGAGGCTCAGCCTCCTGAGTGCTGGGATTATAGGTGTGTGCACCATGTCCTGCCTGGACAGACATTTTTTAAATCCTCTTTAGGATTAACTTTAAGATTAGAGCTGGGTTTCAGTGTTCTGTAAACCTTACCTTCCTTATGTGTAAAATGGGTATGTTATTATCTGCTTTCAAATATTGTATAGTTAAATGAAAAAATACTGTCCTGGCTGGAAAGATTTTTTTTTTTCCAGTACCAGGGATCACCGAGCTGTATCAGCAGCTCTTTTTTGAGGCAGGGCCTTGCTAAATTGCCCAGAGCTGGCTTCCGACTTGTACTCTTCCAGCTCAGTATCCTGAGTAGATGGGATTGCAGGTGTGCACCACCGCACCCAGCTGGGACATTCTTTGTTTGTTGGGCACTCGGCCCTTATGCGTGTGAGGCAGGCCTTGCGGCACAGCGGAGGAACCGCTGAGCTAAATCTCCAGCCCTGGAAACATTCTTGAATGCCATCAGTCAGCCTTTGTTGTTGTTGTTGTTGTTGTTGTTAATAATCCCCTGCCTTGTCGGACGATTTTGAAGAGTTCTCTTGCCTGTAGTACACTAGATTGAAGTGCAGATATGTTAGAAGGTGCCTAGATGCTCATTCTGAGATTGTCAATGCCAGAAATAGGTGGCCATTTTGTCTCATCAGCATACTTCCTTCTGACTTTTTTTTTCCTGTTGACAAAGAATACGACACTTCTATGGGGACAACTAAGCCTGCATTTCTGGAAATTTAGCTTTACTAAGTAAGTAATTAAAGTTTCCATTGATAAAATGAATCCAGAGCCAAACAAATGTTCTTCAGGAAGATCTTAAAGGTAAAAAACCTTCTTGAATTATATAGAAATCAAAATGGAAAAACCGAAAAAGCATTTCATGTCTTCTTATCTAAAGGCAGAGACAGGTAACAATTAGTGCTATCCATGGAGGGAAGTAGGTGGACATGTGCAAGACTGAATAAACTGTGCAAGATGCTGAACATAATCTTATCCCTATAGACAGTTGTTATTGGTGTCTCGCCTGTTCTAAGGATGAAGTTAGACTATGTGCTGCCCTTGCCCTTAGCCTTTGAACACTTAAGAGTTTGTAGGTGATGGCTCCTATGGGTTTGAGCAAACCATGGTGAAACTATTTTTTTCTTCACTTAGTTTGTACTAGTTCTCTCTCTCTCTCTCTCTCTCTCTCTCTCTCTCTCTCTCTCTCTTTTGGTCTGGGGATTGAACTCCAGCGCTTGTGCTTGTTCTCTATTTTTAATTTTAAAATCTAACATGAAAAATGCTACTTTGAGTTTTTTTCAGGTGAGTGCTTTTCAAAAGGTAATTTTAGTGCTTTGAACATTTATTTTTAAAAAGTATCTGTTATATCAAACTTAGTGTCATAAACAGTAAAGATATTCATTATAATTGCATTGGAATTACAATCATTTCTGATTTTTCAGGAAAGTGATTCTGTTTGTAGGCTGAGTTCTTAACTGTGGTCCCCTCTGGTAGAGGAGATCTCTGCACATTTAATAGAGGCAGGGAGTAGAATAGAAGGCAAAGCCAATTCACTTTTTTTAAAAAAAATTACTTTTATCAGTACACATGGTAGTATCTAATGTCTTATTTCCCTGAAAATAAGGCCTAACCAGAAAATAGCCCCGATCAGCCTATCCTTACATTACCTTACCTGTCATTGCTATCCTCTTGCTTGTAGTGGTTACTATGTAAGGCAGGTTTTTATTTTTAATTGTTGTTTTTGAGATAGGATCTTGCTCTGTAGTTCAGGCTGGACTTGAACTTGCAGCAGTCCTTGTGCTTCGACCTCCTGAATGCTGGGATTCCAAAGCCAGTTCACTTGATTCTTCCTATGAAATTTAACTTTTTAGTTCATTTGAGAGAAAGTCAGTCTAAAGTAGTAGGGCATTTATATTATAGAATATCAGGGGAGAGGAGGTAATTTAATGAATTATAGTAGGAACATGTATTCAACAGAATGGTGCTAAGTTGTTATTCTTGATAAAAAGTATGACCGTGTTATTAGAAGTATCTGTAGCTTTCATTCATGGCATCAGTCCCTAGCAGGAAACAAATGATGCAGCATTAGTTTTATGAAGTAATTTTACATATTGTCTTGTTCTGTGTTTTTACTTTTAGGACCGGAGTAGGCCCTATGACACTTTTAACTTGCACTCGTTGGAGAACTCCTTAATGGATATGATAAGGACTGATCATGAGCCTCTGAAAGGTAAACACTACCCTCCCAGTGGCCCACCAATGAGTTTCGCTGATATAATGTGGAGGAATCATTTTGCAGGTTAGGATTATTCATATGTCCATTCCTTACTTGGTGTTTTAAGCAAAAATCAGCTTTTTAATATGTGATTTTGTTTTGTTTTGTTTTTGTTTGTTTTTTTGTTTTTGTTTTGCTTCTGTAAAGCATCGTGGAATGTATTTAAAGTTGATTTTCTTTTTTAACCTGGACTCAGCTACCTTCAGTAATCAGGGTTGATTGCTTTAATCAGTAATGTGTGGAAGAAGTATGTGCTCCAGCTGAGTCATTGTTATAAGACCAGAAGCCAAATTTTCTGCGCTTTGTGTTTGGAATCCTTAGCTAAATCTGAATAAATTCACTTAAATACAGACAGGTATACTGCAAGAAAGTGTGAAATTTAGTAAATCAGTTTCCAAAGATTACAGAAAACGTCACCTAAAATTGTTCTGTTTTATTAAAGAATAATCACTTTACTACTACGGGAAGTATCACAACACAGACTTAAGAGCAGCCAGGTACCCTTTGCATATTCTGAGACTAAAACATAAGCAAAGAGTCTAAAAGTATCTGAATGTTTTGAATTAAATATAAGGCAAAACATCCCAGGTCAGCAATACTGTAGCTTTCTATTTTAGAGATCATGTAAATTCAGGATAAACGTTGACATTACATTCAGAAGTACAGGTAGTTCTTCTTCTGGGTAATAGGACTTGTCAGGGACCCTATGAGTGTTTTAAATACTATAATGCAAATTACTTGGGTTCAAAATTCACTTGGGTTTAGGACCTAACTATCTGAAGACTGTGACGCTTGCCACAGGAATACCAATTTTCTGTGAACTATATAACTTCTGGAATTGTGAGGAATTGGACCCCCCAGGTTCTGTCTAGGCCCTTATATAGAGTATGACTGACAGTGAGAATCTGACACTCATTTTCTTAAGACACACTAGGAACACATTTCATCGTTTCCTTGTCAGACTCATGACTTTCTGCTGCTTTTCTCATTTTCTAGTAAAAAGTAGTAGTTATGGGCTATGAAGAAAATAAAGCATTTTGAGAAAAACTAGATTTTCATTGCTGTTAGAAGCAGAGAAAAAACTTATTTATTCATTGTTATATTTAGTCGTGTTACCACATCTTTCCTTACATATTGGTATGTGGTAATTTAAAGCATATTTCACTTAGAAGTGAGAATAATGTTTAAAACAACAATATTCACAGACTGTTTTGTATTTTTAAATTTTTCTAAGGCTTCATTTGTCTTCCTTTGCTGCCATGAATTAGCTATAAGCTTTTCCTAATTATTCTAAAATATTCAAGTATTCTTCTTTATGCCTACCTATTTTATCTTCATCTGTATTCTTTTTTCCTTGCAGTAAAGATTATGCAGGGATCTTACATTACAATCTGTAAAGTAATTGCCCAGAATTTTATGTATATTGGTTAAACTACTGTGGCCTGTTGAGTGTAGCTCTGGCATAGTATACAGATGGCATCTCACTGTGGATAATGTAAACACCTTTTTCCTATATGATGACCTTTTTTGGTGCAGGCCCATCTGCCTCTGCATAGATCTTTTTTTTTTTTTAACTAGCAAATAATGAGGTTTCATTTATTTATTTGTTTTTTGAGGTTTCACTTATTAAAACATCTGTGTTGTACTTATAATATATTCTATTTTTTTCGTTTGTTTTTGAGTGTGTTTGTGGTACTGGGGTTTGAATCCAGGGCTTTTGCCCTGAGTTATATCCTCAGCCCTCCACACCCCCTTTTTAATTTTGAAGCAAAGTCTTACTAATTTTCCCAGGCTGGGTTTGAACTGTTGATCCTCTTGCTTCAGACTCCAAGAATTCCAGGAATACAGGTGTGCACTATCATGCTCAATTTGTGTCTTAAGTTTAAGGCACTTAGTTTGTACTTTTTAAAAAACCTCAGTGTAGTTGTAATTTCCCAGTTCATCATATGACCCACAGTGATTTTTTATGAATGAACTACTTCATTGTGGTCAAAGGTATCACTATGTCTTTGTAATTTAGGATATTTGAGGATCCTGCTTTCCTTTTGTAACTGGGAGACTTTTGGATGTGGTTTATAGCATCATGTGTATGATCCTTATTCTTTTTGTCTTTGTGCGGAGAATTGAACACATGGCCTGACACATGCTAGGCAAGCACCTTACCACTGAGCTGTATCCACTCCTCTGATCCTTGTACTTCTACTAACAAAGTAATGATACCTTGGCTCTAAAGAAAAACATTAAGTGATTTTTAGCTTTAAAAAGTGAAGATTGTTAGAAAAGAGGTAACTAAAAATAAAAGAAACATTGTGAAACATTTATTTTTCAATTTCTTGTTTTATAAATGTTATTCATTTTTCTCTGATTTTTTTGTTTGCTGGTTTGGCTTTTTTTGTGGCGGGGGTGTTGAGACAGGGTCTCTCTATGTAGTTCAGACTGGTCTTGAACTCACTGTGTAACCCAGGCTGGCCTCGAAATCCTGGCAGTACTCCTGCCTCAGCCTCCTGAGTGCTGGGATAACAGGCGAGTACCACCACACAAAGCTCTTATATGTTTCTTTGTCTTGGTGTTTTTATTTTTTTCTTAGAGCTCAATTTTTTTCATTAAAAAAATTCTCACTGTAAGAAATTTAAATGTATAAAAGGACAAAAAGGAAAGTTGAAAACCTACTTTAGATTAACTAGAGGTAACAGGTTATTATTTTTATTAACATCCTTTCAGATATCTTTTGAGCTAGGGTTTCACTGTATAGTTCAGGCTGGCCTTGGACTCACTATGTAGCCCAGGCTAACCTTACATTTGCAATGATCCTCCTGTGTTCAGCCTCCCAAATGCTGGGATTATAGGCATGCAGCACCATGCCCAGGTTGGAAATTTTATCATGTCTGTCTATCTGTCTGTCTGTCTGTCTCTCTCTCTCTCTCTCTCTCTCTCTCTCTCTCTGTCTGTCTGTCTCTCTGTGAGACAGGGTCCCACTGTAGTTCAGGCAGGCCTTAAACTCCCCGTAGAGCCCAATTTGCCTTAGATTTATGGTGATGCTCCTGCCTCAGCCTCCTGAGTACTAGAATTACAAATGTGCACCTCCATGCCCACAGAGCTGGAAATTTTAAATCATACTTTCCTGAAGAATTTTAAAAACGTACAAAAGTTGAATCGAGTTTTCTTTACAACACACTGACAAACGCCTTCTGCAGGATTAGGATGTAGCTCTGTGGTAGAACCCTTGCGTGACACACATGGGCCCTGGGTTGGATCCCCTGCACTACATAAAAAAGAATGCCTTTGCAGTTTGATCAGATACAGAACCATTATTTAAATAAAAATAGATTTTTCCCTTGTGAAGATCTCAAGCTACTGTTCATAGTTGTAACAGAATAGCATAATAATTTCTTCTTGCCCCTCACTGTATCTTCTGTGTACATTCCTTTTGTTTGCCAGAATGCCTCAAGGAAACGAGAAAGAGGAAGTTTTTGAGTAGGAAAATAATTTATGAAATTTGTTACTTATTTCTTTTCTAATGACAAAATTCCCAGGGTTAGCAGAGGTAGGACTAAGGCCTGAGTGAGAGGAACTGATCTCTTCTCACTTCTGGTGGGTTGAAGATAAATTCAACTAACTCTCCTTACAACTTTGGAGAGTAAGAGGATTTTTAGTTTGGGGATGGAGAGGACAAGAGGTGAGGAAAAACTGTTCATCTCTGTACCCTTCTTGTAGTTGTCCTCTGACTTGAAACCCCTTGTTCAGTAGGTTTGACTAATCATCAAACCTAATGATTTGCTCTCCCTCTAGGATCAGTACACAAGACAGAGTAGGTGGTAAAGGGAAGCAAGATCCCATCCTCTGGCTGAAGAAGGAAAATATAGCAGTTGTGGAGGCAAATAAACAGGGAGGGCTCACTTTTCCTTCATCCTGTGCAGTCTTCCTCTTACAGCAGAGTAGATCTGGCTGTTTAGGGGTAATGCCTGATGAAATGTTTTTATATATTTATATTATCTCTTCATCATCCATAGAACTGAGATTTGAGAAATGAAAAGAGTAAGTGTCCATTGAGAACTGATATCGAAGGCCTTGCTTTTCAAAAGTGTACTGAAAGAATCCGAGGAAAAACTAACTTATCTTCTGGTAATAGTGTTTTAACACATTGAAATGGACAGAAACGTGGAAGGAAGGAATGCCACGTCTTTGTTGTTACAGAGGTATTTTTAATTATGCATTACGATTGAAATGTATTACAGAGATTTTATAAAATTGACCCCTTTATGGAATTTTCTAGGTGCCCTTGTTTATTCTTTTTTTTTTTTTTTTTTTTTGGTACGGGCCTTCCCCTTGCGAGGCAGGCAGCAGCACCGCCACTAAACTAAATCCCTGGCCCTAGCTGCCCTTGTTTTAGAAAAATATTCCTTAATAACATTTTGTTTACTTGATGTTCCAGAAAAATACATTGCTCTTTACTTCTGTAACTTATGGTTCACACCTATAATCCCAACACTCAGGAGGTTAAGGCAGGAAGATTGTTATGTGTTCTGAGGCCAGCCTAGGATATCTAGTGAGTTCAGGACTAGCCTGAGCAACATAGCCAGACCCTGTCTCAAAAAAGCCCTAATACTAATAAAATAATAATAATAGTTATATAAATAAAAGCAGATTTTACAGACCAGGGATGTAGTTCAATGGTAGAGTATGTACCTAGCATGCCAGACTCTGTCCAATCCTCAGTTCCACCTAAACAAGCATCAAATAAGCAAGAAACCTGTTAGGGTCTACTTCTGAGTCTGCAAAAAGTGATTGTTCTTGTTTTATACATTTTTCAACTTTTTTGCAGGAGTTTCTTTGGTTTTTTTAAAGAAAGAGTTTTGCTTTGTTTGCCTTGGCTGGCCTCAGACTCCTGCACACAAGCTACCCTGCTGCTTCAACTTCTGAGTAGCTGAACTACAGACATGCATTACCATGCCTGGCTTTAAATACTGCATAGCATTTTAATCATCTGACTGCTCCAAAACAAAAAGATTGTGCCTGTATTCTATCCTCAGAAATTCTGAGTTAATTTTTCTGAAGAGCAGCCTTAAGTGAGGAAGCAGGCACAAGGATTTAATAATTTGCTGAAGCAAAGTGGTGGTATGCACCTGTGTTCCCAGCTACTTGGAAAACTGAGGCAGGAGGATCACTTGAACTCAGGAGTTTGAGACAAGCCTAGGAAACATAGCAAGACCCCAACTCAGCAGAAAATAATTCATGATAACTTGTTGAAAATTAACTATTACTGGTATGAAAAGAAAGTAGGAAGCTGGGTACCTGTAATCTCTACCTTTTGGAAGAGGTAGGAGGATCACGAGTTCAAGGCCAGACTGTACTATATAATGAGTTCAAATCTATCCTGGACTATATAAAATTGGTAGGAAATGAAATCAGGTAGAATATGCATGTTAATTTATAACACTTTACTTTTGTAACATGACAGTCATATTCTAATGTGCGACACTCTCTGAAGGACAGTACTTGAATTTTTAAAGCAAAAGGCAATTAAAGGAAGGTACAGCACATGTTCCCTATCTTGTAACATTTTAGGAGTAAAGAAATGACTTTCACAATTAATTGTGAATTTTAAAAAGTGCCAGGTCTTTTTGAGGGGGCAGCATCTTACTAAGTAGTCCAGGCTGGCCTTGAACTCACTTTGTAGCCCATGCTGGCCTCAAACTCATGGTGATCCTCTCTGCCTCAGCCTCCGGAGCACTAGGATTAGAGGGATCATCACACCCACCTCCAAAATGCCACTTTTTATTTGGGGTATATGAAAGTGTGGGGTTAGCGGGACTCTTAAGTGAGCTAGGTTTTTTTCCCAATTGTTCTTTGTTGTTGTTTGTTTTTGCTGTGTTAGGGATTAAACTCAGGGCCTCATGTATGCTAGACAAGTGCTCTGCGACTGAGTTATATCTCCAGGCCCTAGGATAGTTTTACTAATTAGTTTTTTGTTTTTATGTTTTGTGTGTGTGTGTGTTTTTTTTTTTTTTCTTTCTTTTTTTGAGACAAGGTCTCACTATGTAGCCCAGGCAGGCCTTGAAATTGCAGTGATCCTCCTACCTCAGCCTCCTCAATGCTGGGATTAGAGGAGTGTGCCACCAGACCTGGGTATTATTTTAAAGTACCAACTTATAAAATTAATGTACTTATTGTGTGGTACTGGGTATTGACCTCAGGGTGCACTGAGCTACATCCCCAGCTCTATTTAAATTTTTTTATTTTTATAATGGTTCCTGCTAAGTTGCTTGGGCTGGCCTTGAATTTCGGATCCTCCTGCCTCAGCCTCCCAGGTAGCCAGGAATTATAAGCTTGCATCAGTGCATCTGTCATAACTGATTTTTATCACCTAATGTACCTGTCACTCTGTTCTCCAGCCTCATTCTCAGCCGCTTTCGCCCCTGTTCATCAGGGCCTGTGCGGTGGGCAAAGTGGGACACAGCCTCAGATTTCTAAAACACTGAACTCGATAAAACCAAGTGTGCCTCCCAGTTTTTTGAAACCTTATATCTTACACTATACTTAAAAGATTGCTAGCTGACAAGAACAATTTAAAAATAGCAGACCGTGGACAGGTGACAAAATGTCACACTGGTAGCACCAGACTGTATTAACAAAAATCACCAGATGTCACACACTCGATTCTGTTTTCACAGCTGATTAAATAGCAGCTTTGGCTGGACAAATGGAGAGAAAAGAAGTGACCTCATCTGAGTTAGGAATTAATTTGTATTTTGCTGTTGTACATTTTTTGCTCTCCTCTAAAATCTGCTAATAAGTGTAAAACTTAAGTCATACAATAAATTAAGAAAAAAATGATTACACATACCAACTCCTCATGATGTAATTATTACATCTATAAACATGTACTAATAAAATTTTTTAAAATTATAAATGATTCCAATCTTGGAGGAAAAAAACCTCAAAAATATATTCCTTAAACTGGTAGAGTACTGCACAAACCCAAGCGTTAATTATGCTTGTCTTTAGTGATCTTATTTTCTTTCTTTCCTTTTTTTTTTTTTTGTGATCTTATTCCTTCATCTTTTCCGTATTGTCTTAATTGTTCTCCAATGAAAATATATTGTAATTTATAATCTAAACATTAATGTTTGAAGACACAAAGAAACTAAAGAAGATATAAGTGATTTTACAAACAACTGTAGTTAGTTGGAGGGAAAAATTATATTTAGATCATGATTCTATTGGTCTGGCAATGACCCAGAATTAGTCTGTTTTTGAGAAAAGGTCTCTCTGCATAGGTCTACTCAGTATGTGCCCAGACTGGCCTAGAATTTGAGGTGATCCTTCTGCCTCAGCCTCCAGAATTCTGGTGTTATAGGCACGCATGCCACATCCAGCTACAGTTCCTTAAAAAAAATCTTAACGTGAACTTTTTTTCTCCATTACTAGGGATTGAATCCAATGTCTTTGCACTGAGGTACATCCTTAGCCCTTTTAAAGCTTTTTTATTTTTTATTTTGAGACCGGATTTTGCTCATTGGCTAAGTTGCTCAGGCTCAGCCCCAGTGTGCCTCATACTGCCAGTAGCTGAGATCGCAGGTGTGTGCCTTTGCACCCGCCTTGTTAATTTTCATCAGAGGCCCATTAAAGTCAAATAGAATTAGGAAGAACACTAGGAAAGGTAAAACTGTACTCTGCCTTTCAACAATTGGTGATGCCTTCCATCTGCAAAACACTGCCTATGGTTCTTGTTTTGCCTCTTAAGAATGAATTGGAAGTAATCAGTATAGGATAGAAAACGATCATTTAGAAAACAACTCAATTTCCTTTCAGTTTTATCTTTCCAAGCTGAAAAGTTCTAATACCTCTTGAAAAGGGTCAAAAAAGTTCCCTATATATGTTTACATTCTGGCAGACTGAAAAGTCACCCCTTTTAAGTTTGGGGTACTTCCAGAGACATACAAAAATAGTTATTTGTAGTGGGTGTAAACTACATAATACTTGCAGTTGGTGATGACTTTCCCGTTCTTACACACACCTTAATACAAGTGATACACTGTTTTTTGGAGACAGGTTCTCACTGTGTAGCCCAGGTTGCCTTGAACTTCTGGCAGTCCCCCTGCTTCAGCCTCCCAAGCTGCTGGATTATGGGCATGTGCCACCATGCCCCACACAAGTGATGCACTTTTGGGAGTTTTGGGGTTTTTTTCCCCCCACTAACTCTTAGTATAAAATGATTTTTCACAATTTGTCATGGCACAAGTGTGTCTTGAAGAAATTAGATGTCCTTATTTAGGCAAAAAAATGTCTAGGAATTCATAATTTCCCCCTTTTTATTGAGGCAACTGCTCTCTTCTGCCCACTATGATACTTTTCTTTTGGGCCAGAAGAACTTGATCATACTGTTTACTTCCAGTCTCCAGTAACAGAGTTTAATGCCAAATCATGACTGACCCTTTTACGATTATATATAAAACTATGTATGTATTTGTTGTGAAAGTCACTTACTGTATCTCCACCTTTCTCTGTATCACTCTCCTCCAAAATACAGATCACATTTACTTATGAAAGCAATGGTTGTGGAATAAAATTAACATTTTCCTGAGAATTTCATAAAAAAGCCAGTTGCATATGAAAACCTTACTGAGCTGAAATTTATAGATACCAGCTTTGCACACTGGTTGCTGTTTCAATGACTTTTATTTTATGAAAGAATAAAACAAACTCATAGTAAAATATAAGAGAATACCAATAGTTAATACACTGTATATTATCGTTTTCAAAGTACTCAGATGGGAGACACAGACAAAAAAATCTTACAAAGAAGAAACAGATGATCACACAAAACTTCCTTTTCAACAGTCTAAGATAAACTAGTAGTATAAATAATACAAACCAGAATATAAAAATATTTTGAAACAACAAAAATAGGTAATTTGGTGAAATATTTGAACTTCTCTCTACTACCTCTTTATCTCTTTTCTATTTTGCTTTTTATTTGTATTTATGCACACTATATTATTGTATTGAAGAATTGGTTAAGAGATCTTACGAAGTATGTTTGCTTCCCCTTATAAGACTCTAATTTAAAAACAAAACAAAACAAAACAAAAAATACTTCCATCTCTTCTTCTCAAATAATAAATGAAGAAAACATTAGATGTCTGCACTTCTCACTTTTACCCCTGGCAGCCATTGGTTGAAACATCTGATTTCAATTCGTTAACTTATAGAACAAGAGTTGACAAGCTTTGTGAAGGGCTAAGGACTAAATATTTTAGGGTTTCCAGTTCTCATGGCCTCTGTCATATATTATTCCTTGGTTTTTTTTGGATTTGGAACCCTTAAAAAATGTAAGAATAATCCTTAGCTCAGAGGCATACAAAAACAGGAAGCTGGCTGATGTAGGCAGAAGTTTGCAACTCATTATAGACAGAAGGATAAAGGTCTGGAAATTACCATTATGCCCGAGTTCATAGAACTAGTTAGTAGTAAGAGTAGCATAAGAACTCTGTATTTTAGGCCAGACATTTTTCTCCACTATATCTGTTACATAAATTTTATCATCTTTCTTCCAGTTGCCATTCTGATAATTATGTTGCATATTACGTTTTTATTCTCTCAAAGCTTTGTTTATCTGCTTTGAGTTATTTTTGTGCTTGAATTTGAAGGGCAGTGTGAATGGTTGTTTAAATAAAATGCTTAATCCAGGGAGTTGGCATGTTTAAATCAGAATGTGGGTGATAATGTAAATTATCTATTTAGACTTTATTATGGAAGCTTCTTTTTTGTTTTGTATTTTGTGTTGGGTCATTGGCTTTGTTTTAAGACTTTTCATATTTTTTTAATTTTAAAACTGTTGCTGCCTTGGCCTTTGATAACATTGTTTTAGATTAATTTGTTGTAACTTTTTGTAATGTTTATATTTTACAGTGTATTTGAAATGATTACATTGAGCATTCTTTGAGCTTAAAATAAAATTACTTTATTTTTTAGGACGCATGGGAATAAATTTTCATCATCCTGGAACAGATAATATTATGGCACTTAACAGTAAGTCTTTATATGAAATATCCTATAAAATCAGCAAACTTGCATGTCATTTCCACTTTTCTAAATTAATTGTTCAGTACTTTTCAGCCTTTCACCAAGCATAGAATAGATCATTATTCTCTGCCAGTGATTTTCACAGTGTGATCTCTGGGCCAACAGCATCAGTCTCACTAGGAAACTTATTAAAAAATGCATAACGTCAGTCCTTTCTAGACCTACTGAATGAGAAACTTTAAAGATGGGGTGCAAAAATTTGTGTATTAAAAGTCTTACAGGTGATTCCGATGTAAGTTAAAGTCTGGAAATTGCTGCTCCATAACACAGTTGGTAAACTATAGCTGTGTAAACCAAATCTGACCTAATACCTGTTTTTTAATAAAGTGGTATTGACCTACATCCATTTATTGATGGGTTGTCTGTAGCTGCTTTGTACTCCAAGACAGAGCCTAAGGCCGGGGATTTAGCTCAGTGATTCCGCCGCCTGCCTCACAAGCACAAAGTCCCAAGCTTGATCCCCAGTACCAAAAAAAAAAAAAAAAAAAAAAAAAAAAAAAAAAAAAAAAAAAAAAAAAAAAAAAAAAAAAGAAAGACAGAGCCTAAAAGTCCTACATTATTTGCTTGCTGTTTCACTACAGAAAATGTTTGCCAACTTTTGCCCTACAGTATATTTGAGGGGGTAATGAAAGAAGGCAAAGGGAGAAAGGAGGAGCAGGGTAACAAATGTGAATGAATAAATCACCTAATTTAATCATAACTGAAAATTTTTCTCATTGTGGTAAATAGCTGATATTTGTTTCAAGCTGGGTATCCAGGAGTCTCCCACTAGGGAAATTTGCACGTTATAAGTGTCAACAGCTTTTCAGAAAGGAGGTAGTCTTGTCAGTATAATTGTTAGAGCAACAAAAAAATTATTAACTAGAAAATCATCGTATCAATTAACACTGGAAGAAATATTTGGCCAGTATCAGCTCTCCTGTCTAGTGTCTGTAGACCAAATGGTTTTGCACAAGCCCAGTCTTCAGGTGGAAATTCTTTGTTGTCAAAGGACTATCCTATATAAGCCATTGAATGTCCCAGGGCTGAAATATTTTTCTTTATTGAGTGATATCACATTGTCTGTCCCCTCTCATCCTCCCAGATAAATGACATACAAGGGAAACAAGACATATTGTGTAAATCATCTAAGGTTGTGTACAATTTTTTCTTTTCTTTTTTTTCAGCAGTTGCGGTTCAAACCCAGGGCCTTTGATCAGAGCTACATCCCAGGCCTTTTTTTTTTTTTGGTATGGGGGATCAAATTCAGAACCTTGAGCTTGCAAGGCAGGCAAAGTGCCTCTGAGCTAAATCCCCAGCCCAGCCTTTTTATTTTATATTTTGAGCAAGGGTCTCTTTAAATTGTCCAGGCAGGACTTGAATTTCATGATCCTCCTATGTCAGCTTCCCGAGTGCTAGGAGTATTTGTGTGTGCCACAATGCCAGGCTCAATTTTCCTTTTGATTCAGTAAGGAGGTGGGTGCCATTGGAGTTCCCTGAAACAGATTTCAAGTTATCTCCAGAATTTATATTCTGGATCTGACATGCAGCCTGCTTTACCCTGAGCACTGCTGAGAACCCCCTTTCTGCTGAGACAGTGCCTGCTGATGCAGGTTCTAATCTACTCTGTGCATTTGTTTTCTCTATAACTATAGTACCTCCTTTCCTGTGGAGGGTCTCAGAGACAATAAAACTTCCAAAAGTATCCACCTGTCATTTTCTAATTTTTTTTCTTTAGTTTTTTTGAGGGGGGTTGTTTTGGTTTGGTTTGGTTTTTTGAAACAAGGTCTCACTATATAGTCCAGCCTGGCCTCAAACTCATGGCGATCCTCCTTCCTCAGCTTCCTGGTTGCTGGGATTACAAGCATGGACCAGCATTCCAGACTCTCATTTTCTAATTTCTAAAAGGAAGGTCACTTCACATTTAGGTTATGATTCTTCCAATTTCTGTCTAATGGGATGAACATTAATAAACATACTTAACTTGCTGAGATTCTGCAATCATTGTGAAAAGTCTTCAGTCTTCAGTTAGATACTGAAATTAGAGTTGAATTTAAAAAAAAAAATCTAAGAGGCTAACGCAGGAGGATCGCTGCAAGTTTGAGGCCAGCCTGGGCTATGTAATGAGGTCAAGGCCAGCCTGAACTAAATAGTGAAACCCTGTTTCAAAACAAACAAGCAAAAAAGAGTATGGTATTGTGTCTGTCTGAAGCAATTAGAATATATCTAAGAAAAGACCTAATTTGAGTTGAAGTGAGTCTCCTGGAAGAGGGAAAGGCTATAATTTATGATTTTCTGTGTATAAAATGAAGCTAAAAGACATTTTTCAAAAAGGTTTTGATTATCTTTGATTTTCTTCAATTCACTGCTTTTCAGTAGAGGTTTCATTTAAGTGCTTTCCATTTTGTCCCTGTTGCTTAAATTTCTTTTAGCCTCAATTTCCTTATCTCTAAGAGAACGGGACTGATTAGGTAATCTTAATGACTCTTTTCAGCATGTGGATGCAGAGTGGCTGTGATTTTTATGGGTAAAGTACCAGAAAGGTCATTTTGCTGGTATATACATGTAGCTGATGGTGATGAACTCTGCATATTTGTAACGTGTTGGCAGGTCGGGGAGTGCATCAGTTTTCAAATGGTTCTGTTGATGATTCCCAACCAAAGTTTGACATTTACATTTCCTACTGTCTTAGTCACTTGTTGCTGGGACAAAATACTTGATACCTTCAACTTAGCGGAGAGCTTTATTTTCATTAATGTTTTAAAGGGTTTTTTGTTTGTTTGTTTGTTTGTTTGTTTGTTGAGACAGAGTCTTGCCCAGTCTTTTAGAGTTGTCTCCAACTTGAGGTGACCGTAATCCTCCTTGGGAGGTATTTATGGAATGAGTGGGGGCTTTGACAGGTTTATGTACCGTGATGCAGCTTTTCTTCCCTTTTGTATAACTGAGCCCAGATCACCTAGTGACATAGGTAGCACATGCACAAACACGCTGGTGTACCTTTTGTCTTCTTTTTTGCCTACTATTTGTTGGCTCAATAGTAAATGTCCCTTACCTGGTCTGTCGACTTTCCTTTTCCTCCACCTTCATGTAGGAATAACTGAGATGAATTCAGAATTTTATGAATCCAGAATTTGTGATTATTAGAAGGTACTAGAATCAAGTTGAACTATCTTTTCAGGAAAGAGGGATCTAAGAAAATTTAGGAGAATTGAGGCAATACTTAAATTTATATCAAAATGAAATGAGTTGTAATTCTTTCTTTCTTTCCCTCTTTTACTATGCAAAATGTTTCCTTTTTGCTCAAAGCCTGCATTCCCTGTCTTCAAAGATCTTTTATCCTTCTTTCACTCTCCCTGTCTCTCTCTTTCTCTTTCTTTCCTTTTCTCCTTCCCTTTGAGATAGGGTCCCCCTATGTAGTTCAGGCTGGCCTCAAACCCTCAGTGATTCTCCTGTCTCAGCCTTCTGAGTGTTGGGATTACAGGCCTGTGCCGTCACACCCGGCATTCTTTCACTTTCTTCTCCTCACCGAAACCTGAACCTTGCTTCTCAGCTCTCTTCACTTGATGGGAAAGGGAGGTGTCGTGGTGAGCTTTCTCCCTTGCCAGTATTACATCAACTTTTTAACAGGCAGATTTCTCAGTGTTTTATTTAGTACATGTGTTCCAGTTATACTTTGCACTGAGAATCACCACTCCTGATGTTTCCTAGAGAATATCAGCTGTGGAAAACAAATAGGAATTAGGAATGAATTTGTAGAGCCTTGAGTATGAAAAGACTGGCAGGGTTTGTATAAAGCCAGAGTCTACTGAATTTTCCTGTTCAATACTGTAAATCTAGAAAGAATTAACAGGGCAGCTTTTGGGCTGGAACCTAAGAGATCCAATGACTTTTTGGCTCTTCTCTAAATATTAGGTTCTCAAGTATTGTAGAATATGTAAAGGGAGGTGTGGGGAAGGAACCCTAGTCCATCAATAAAACCTCCTTGTCTGTATTTCCAAAATACAGTTCTCAAACTGTGCCCTTTCCACTAAAATAGATAATATGTTTTTTCTTAACTTTCTAGTAATTATGAAAATTGCCGTTTCTTTGCCTTTATACCAAAAATACTAGAAGTTTGCATAATATATTTTTATTTTTCTTGCTGGGAAAAGAGGAAGGCTGCTGAGAATTGTAGCTACATATATACTACTAGATCCATCAGCCATTTTTTTCTTTCTTTTTTTTTCATTAAGTGTATTGGCACATTTTATGTATACAGTACAGTTGTATTAGCCAGGTTTTTCTCACACTGACAGTGGCATGTGGTTTAGTTTTTGCTTTTACATTGTAGTCTTTTACAGAATTGATACCTGACTTGATCTTTCCTCCATTATGTTGGTCCTCAGAAAAGATTTTTGTAGCTCCATGTTTGGTCCAAGTGAATCAAATTTATGGTCAAATTAACTTTCAAAACTTGGTGTGAGTTTTAGTGTGGAGACACTGCTGTCAAGTGTGCCCACTTTATTTCTTTCTCCAAGTTCTCCAAGTTTCTGAGGAAAACAGGTAAATAACAGAAACTACAAACACAGGAGTAGTGTGACCTAATGGGTAGAGATCTTTCAGCTTCCAGGAGACATCTTCCAAGCCATCTGGAAGGCAAGTGAAACCTGATGCTAAGCAATGCATGAGTATTTTCTGGAGAAGGGCAGATCTGATTTCACCTCATACAAGCTCTATAATCTCAGGCCACATTCCTAACTCCTCTTTCCCTTGGGTTTCTTTGCCTTTAAATGGAGACAGTTAGGCATGGTAGCACACGCCTGTCATCCAGCACTGGGGAGTCTGAGACAAGAGGATCGCCATGAGTTTGAGGACAGCTTGGGCTGCATAGTGAGTTCAAGTCCAGCCTAAACTACATAGTGAGACCCTGCCTCAAAAAACCCCCCAAAATAAATGAATAAACAAGAATGGAGATAATAAGCTGGGAA